CGCCGCGACGCAAGCCCGTGCCGCTGGTGGATGCCAAGTTGCTGCAAGAGGCCGAGGCGGTCGAGGTGGTGGACGAAGCTACTGCGCCAGCCATGCGTGCGAGCGACGAGGTGTTCAGCGGCGGGCTCGAGCCGTCTGCGTCGTGGCGCTCGTTTTCGGAGGAGGGGTTCGGCGGGATGAGTACGGCGTCGTCGGAGCTCTCGCTGTCCGAATTTGACCTGAGGCCGGTGTCGGCGACGCTGCCGTCGCGGCGCAGTCAGCGCGGGCTGCATCGCGTGCGCTCTTCGGCGTCCGGTGGCTCCAGACGCCGCACGGTGCTTCCGCCCGTACCACTTACGAGCGCACACGTGCAGGCGCATCATACCGTCACGGCGGCTCGTATGGTGGAGCACGATACGGCGCTGGCGATTGTATGGCAGGACCAGCTGCTGGATGCGTCGCCCTGCTGCTCGTTGCCCGCCATGCTGTTTGTGCAGCTGAGCAAGGCGACGGGTGCGGCGGTGGCGGCGGTGCAGGATGCGGATGAGGCCGATGTGCCAAGGTACCCGGGCGACACGCCGTGGCTGTTGGTGGTCGAGACGATCATTCCGCCTCGACCGCCTACGCCGCCCGCGGTGGGTAAGGCGAGCTGGCGCTTTGACGATTCCGCATCGACTAGCGATCGCAGGAGCATCTTTGCACCCAGCATGCGCAGTGTCAAGATGCGTCTGCGTCGCGTCAGCACCATCATCGGTAACGGCGTCGCGGGCACGCGCAAGAAACACATCGACACCGCATAGACCCCACACACACCCACCGCCCACACGTATACCCCTCGCGTCCTCACACCGTCACAACTTGTCAACCTTTTCCTTGCATGCTGGGGGATCAAAAGCGAAACTGAAAAATTGCACAGTGTGTGGTGGAGATTAGCACTGCTTCGAGTAGCCTTTGGCGCGGTGACCCGAGCCGTGCGGCAGACCTCCGCGGTGCTTATCGTGAGCGGCATTGTGGTGACCGGTGGACCTGGCTGCATCCTTTGCAGCCGTGGATCCACTAGGCGGTTCGGTGTGCTTTGCCGAAAGTTGGGCGAGTTTGCGGAATCCTCCATCGCCAGCGTCCTTTTCGAGCGACTCGGTGATGGAGATAATGTCGTACACCAGCTGTTCGATCATGCTTTCCGAGAGGTTCTCGCGCACGACGACGCGCAGGATGTCGATGTCCTCCAGATCCGGCGACAGATTGTAGTTGGGCACAATCCAGCCCTTTGCTCGGAGCAGCGTCTGCATCCAGCGCTGTTCCAGGTCCGCGTTTCGCTCGCGGAACGACTTGGACCAGCGGAACGACACGACTGGCAAACCGGGTCGGTAAGCCTCGGCCGAGTGTTCGTCGACTGCGCCTGGGTTCGAGGCGGGCTGGTGGATCTCGGAGAGCACCTCGTAGTATCCGCTCTTTTCGAGCGCTCGTGCGAGCAGGCGCGCGTTCTGAAGGTCGGCCTGCATCACCCGACGGTAGCCGTTGAATCCAAGATTGATAAAGTTGAACAGTTGGCCGATGACTGGATGCGCAGGGCGGGAGAAGTTGAGTCCAAACGAGTACTCGACCGATCCGAGGTAGTGCAGCTCGAAAACGAGCTCCTTGGGCACCAGATCGTTGGACCTGAACAGCACCCATCCGAGACCCGGGTAGACCATGCCGAACTTGTGACCGGACGTGTTGATGCTCTTGACACGCGGCAGTTCGAAGGACCACTTCAAATCGGGCGTGGCAAAAGGCGCGACCATTGCACCGCTCGCACCATCGACGTGAATCGGAATGTCGATGCCCGTCTTGGCCTGGTAGGCGTCGAGGAGCTTGCTCATGCCCTCGACGTCTTCGTAGTGGCCCGTGTAGGTGGATCCGAGTATGACGACGACGCAGATCGTGTTTTCGTCCACCATGTCAATGGCCTTGTTGATGTCGAGGCAGTACTTGCTCTCGTGCGATACGGGCACCAGACGCTCCTCGACGTCAAAGTAGCGCGCAAACTTCTCGATGGCCACCTGGGCATTGCTGCCAAACACCATATTGGGTCCAGGTTCCTTGAAGCTCTTGCCCTGCTCCTTCATCCTGTGCTGCCAGCGCTTCTTGGCTGCCAGACACGCAAGCATGATGGCTTCGGACGATCCCGTGGTGGCGACACCCATGGCCGACTTGCGCTTGCCCTCGTCGTCGTACTCCTTGGGCGCCTTCCAGAGGTCGGCGAGCATCGAGATGCATCGAGCGTGCATCGCCATCGTCGCCGGGTACTCGTCCTGGTCGCACATGTTGATCATCATGGTCTCGGTCATGAGCTTGGTCGCCTCGTCGGGCATCCAGGTGTGCACGAACGAGGCGAGGTTCAGCGTGGGCTTGCCGTCCAGCGAGAGGTCCGAGCTGAGCAGCTGGTACGTCGCCTCGGCCGAGGTGCCGTTCTGGGGGATCTTGTATTTGGGGATGGGCTCGGTGGTGTAGCGCCCGGCGTGTGCGCCCGAGTGGTAGGCATGCGCCTTTTTCCCACCCGCATGCTGGAGGAGGCCCAGGATGGGGTGGTCAGCCGCTTGCTGGATCAGCTCGTCCGCGTCGACGTGCTTGCTTAGAGACATTGTGGGCCAATTACACGGAGTGGAGGGATGGAGGGTGTCGAGGATGGCGGTTCGGTGGGGAAGAGATGCGGCTGCCGAAGGTTATATACGCACGGCGAAGATGGCTTCGAGCGATGCGCGCGTTGCAGCGATCCAGCGATGCAACTCCGTCAGCATCGCAGCCACCAACGGTGCGGTCATCCAGGCTGCCAAACGGCAGGGTCCATGTTGCGCTGCGGGTGGTCTGTGCTGTGCCGACGCCCCAATCGCACCTCGGCATCGCCGCTCGATTTCGACGCTTTCCACTCAGCGAGCACGCGCTCGAGCCTTGCATCGTCACTCGCCCGCAATGCCGCCCACCAACAATGGCAGAGCCGGGGAGCGTGCGAAAAATCGCGGCGCAGGGACCGCTGCGAAAAGTGGACGGCATGACGCGCTTCTGCAGATGCTGACCCGCAGACGTGCCGAGTGGCCGTTGGATTCCATGCAGCAACCGTGCCGCCGGCTTCCCCGACCCCTTCGCTCATGCGCAGAGCCACGGTCGCCATTCGGCCGGCATCCCTTCCGTGCATTATGCGAGAGGCCAGACCTTCTGTCAGCTGGGCTCGGCGAGAGGGCTGCCATGGGGAACGTGCGCAGGGCAAATCATGGCTGAATATTCGACCGCTTTTCGTGGCCCTCTTTTCGACGCCTCATTTTGTTGCAGCTTGGATTTCTTTTCCCTCCCATAAATTCGCACTGCCAGCAAGGACTGTTCGGGCTTCTTCCCGCACTGACCTGCGCACCGATTCGACTCAAACACACTCGAACAAAGCCACATGCTCGACAGGAGCAGATGGGTATCGGTCCGATTCCATAAAAAGGAGCACTTGCGTACGACGTACGACGCACGCCGACAGGAGCAGAGATAAATGGAGAAAGAGAGAGAGCGAGAGAGAGGAGGATCGACCCGTTGACGAGGGCTGCGATCCAGCCAAATTAGCATGGCGTCTGCCTGGACAGGTTCGAATGGGTCGCAAGGACGATGGTCAGAGTAGCATGGCAGCGCCGAGGACGGCGGCAGCGGCGAGTGCGAGCATCTGCAAAGCGGCCGAGTTTGCCGACATTGCGACGGCAGCGTTCGAAGATCCTAGACTACCGAGGCCCATTGATCCGGACGACGAAGCAGCTGAACCGGCAGCGGTGCTTGTAGCGCGTCCCCTCGCCGAAGTAGTCACCGTACGTGGCACCGCTGAGCTTGCACCACCATTCCCACCAAGTGCTGCGTATGCCGAGCTGGCACCTGCAGCAGCGAGCGATGAGATGTAGGCCGAGTCGAGCGTGGTGTACGTTGCCAGTGCGGGTGTTCCTGCCGGCTGCGTGACGGGCGAGTTCTGCGTCTCGGTCACGACGCCGTTGCCGCCCGCGGTGGAGCACGAGCCAAACTGCACACACGCACTCTGCGCATTGTTGGTGGTGAGTGGTGGTGCGGCCTGTGCAGCCACCGCTGCAGCGCTGATAGCTGCGAGAAGCAGTGTAGGGGCGAGTCGGGCCATCGAGAACGAAAGAGAGGATGAGATGGTGGTGAGAGAAGGTGGATGGCTGGCGAGTTGCCAGAGACCCCAATCCGGGGCGCAGCTGCGGGGGAACTCTGTAGGCGAGTTGTTCTTTTTGAGCCATCCTCGCAGAGAGCCAAATTCAACTTCCGCAATCGTCTGCCTTTTTTTCGAGCACGCCGGGGTAATCGACGGCGCATGAGCGGCCGTTGCGCCCCCCTCGCCTGCCAAATTGGGCGGCGATCCAGCCTCGGCGGCTTTCACACCGCCATGTCCAGCCGTGGGTTCCTGGATCGGGCACAACATCCCGATTCCACCCTCCCCTCATCCCCCTGCAGCTCCGGCGTAGATGTATGGCGACGGGGCCCTTCCGCAAGATAGCATTCAGAGCCACAGTAGCAATGTTATCGAATTGGATCGTAAAATGCGCGGCTCGAACCTTGATCTGCGCAAAAGGTCAAACCTTAACTTCGCTCGAGCTTATCTGGCTCTGCGCGCATAGATGCTGCAAGCTGGCGCCGAGAACGAAAGCACACCACATCTCAACTCGAACCTCTTCGCATACATCCACAGGCGAACATGGGTGCAGCAGCTATAGCCGGTCTTGTATTGGGGCTGCTCTTTGGCGCCGCAGCTCTGCTGTCAGGCATCCTCGCCTGTGCCACTCGCACCGAAGCCGAATCGCTCCCCCTGCACAACGCCAAACCGGAAGCCAAGTCGAAAAACGAACAGCCCAAAGCCGAGAAGCCCAAGGACGACAAGCCCAAGGACGACAAGCCCAAAGAATCTCAGCCGAACCAGCTCAAGGACAAGAAAGATGCCAAGGATGCCAAGGACAAGGATGCCAAGGCCGAGGAATGGTCGGGCGCCAAGTTGTGGCAGGAGTACGTGGCCAAGGCGGGCCACGACACAGGCAAGCCGCAGTACGTCGTGTTTGATCCCAAGAGCGGCAAGATCGAGCTCAAGCCTGCGCCTGCCAACGATGCGCCGTTCCTCAAGGTGCATGCCGATGGCAAGGTCGAGCTCGTCCAGCCCAGTCAACCGGCAAAGGGCAAGGAGGCGCAGAAGAACGGCGACAAGGCGGACGAGAAGAAGCAGGAGGCGAACAAGGACAACAAGAAGGACGAGAAGAAGGACGAGAAGAAG